GGCGTAACATTACCTCCCTCCCAAAGAATCACCTTGTCCTCAAAGTGAAAATCAGGGAACTGTTGTTTCATCCTCCCGTATGGCTCCCACGTAGCCTCGTAGTCAGGAAGGTTATTCTACTGGATCAACACTTCCTTAGTTTTATCTTCTTTCTGACGAACACCTTTTAGCTTTATAGGTTCTAGAATCACCTCTAACTCCTCAGTCAGGGTCGCTGGTAGCTCGGAATTTGTGTACTCCCCAATGGCTTTTCTTAATTGTGACACGTGAAAAAACTGGATGTATAGTTGTTGATGGAGGTAGTTTCAATCTGTATGCTACTGCCCCAATCTTCTCCAGCACTTCATATGGCCCAAAGTACCTTGGAGCCAGCTTTTCATTCCTCCTGTTGGCGACTGTCTTCTGTCTATATGGTCGGAGCTTCAGAAACACCCTCTCCCCTGCTGCAAACTGTATGTCCTTCCGATGCCCATCCGCTTGCTTCTTCATAGTTTGTTGTGCTCTCAGCAGATGCCTCTTTAGCTCTTCAAGTACTCGGTCTCTCTTCTCTAAGTACTCTTCTACTGACAAAACAGGGGTGGTGCTACTCCCAAAATGCACAAAGTGTGGGGGATCCCTTCCGTACAATACCTTGAAAGGGGTCATCTGTGAAGCAGAATGAAACGATGTGTTGTACCAATATTCTGCCCAAAGCCACTTAGCCCATAGCTTGAGAGTTTCTGACACAAAACACCTCAGGTACGTCTCCAAGCTCCTGTTGACTACTTTTGTCTGGCCATCCGTCTACGGGTGGTAAGCTGTGCTCCTTTTTAGAACTGTCCCTTGTAATCTGAACAACTCTTTCCAGAAATGGCTGAGAAACACCTTATCCCTATCTGATACGGTCGCCTCTGGTACTCAGTGAAGTCTGATCACTTCCTTGATGAATGCTGCAGCTACTGCGGTGTAGGGGTGTCTGAGTGGAATGAAGTGTGCGTATTTAAAAATAAAAAAATCTTTCCTCCAAATCGGTTTTCAATTGACTGACTTTGCCTTCCAAGACGTCCACCTTCTTTCCGGCCATCGTTCTTCAAACGGATCCCAAAAAATCTTCTTCCGGAAACGATAAACTTGCTGAAATTTCAGAATTTCAGCCGCCGGTGGTCTCAAATCGATGCTCTGATACCAACAGAACGGGACTAGAGAAAGGGCTGATGCTGGGTCTGATGATCTCTGCTTCTAGCATCTCTCTAATCAACCGTTCAATTTCATCTTTCTGGAACTGAGGGTAGAGGTAAGGACGTACACTGATGGGTGAAACCCCGTCACTCAACACAATAGCATGACCCACAGGTCCCAAGATCGAAACCTGGCTATGATACCAATTTGATAGGAAATACTTGAGTTCACAAGTAATCCTAAGGTAATACTTGAGTTCGCAAGCAATCCTAATCCCAACCAATGAAAATCTAACAGCGAAACTGCTGTCCACAACAGTTTAACAGTAGGAAACACATAAAAATCTAAGAGAAAAGCATTAGAACTCGTAGGGAAACGAAGCAAACACTTTTATTTCAGTAGAAGATGAAAAGCACTTGCAAGATACAACTTTCCTTCAATTCGAGAGGACGGAAAAACTCTCCAACGATCTCCAGCAAAGCCAAGAGCCCAAGAACACCAAACCCTAGATCTCAAAATAATTCAAATTCAAGATAATCTAAATCCCTCAAAAACTCCTAATTAAAGACAAAGGAATATTTCAAAATACTTAAACAGCCCTTAGTTCAAATAATTTTCTTCCTAATCTTGCATTGAGCCCATGGTGGGCTCCACAAGGCTTCCGCCCAAACCAGGAGTTCCGCTTGGTCTATTCCGTCGCCTGGAATAGACCTGGACCGGTCCCTCCTGGACTGGTCTAGCCGGCCCCTCCTGGGCCGGCGTAACATCTTCTCCTTAAAATCTGCTTTGAGTTGCCCAAATTCTCCCTCCGAAGCTTCCACTTTCCTTCCGGTCATTGGTTCCCCTTAGATCGATGTGCTTTGATACCAATTTGATATGAAACACTTGTAGATCTCAAGTATTTCCTATCATTCTTTGAAAAATAACGAGAATTCTCCACAAAAATCCACACAAAACCACGAAACACTAGATAATTTGTATTATTTGATGAAAGGGAAATGAAAAATACCAAGATACAATTGATCTTCTATTCGAGAGGAGGATATTTCTCTCCTAAATCTCTAGACTCCGCTATAGCCCAAAGAAACTAAGAGATCTCAAATTTCAGCCAAATTCAAGATGCACTGATCCTAGGAAAACCAACTATTTAATGCATACAATTCAAAAGAAAATCTCTAAGCAGTCCATACATTCAAATTTCCATAATAAATCCCTCAAAAAATCCTTCCAAAATAGCTCCCTAACCCTTGCAGCTTGCATTCAATGCGTACAGGAGGCGGACATTTCTGCCTCTGTTCGCGTAAGCTGGTCCCTTCGGACCGGCTAGATTGCTCTAATGGACTGGTCTAATAATACTCCCCTCTCAAAGATCCACCTGGTTCGCAAAGTGGAAAGACGACACCCTCCATTTCTTCTTCATCACAAATGGTAAGAACCTGAAGAGTTGGTCCTTACACTTGTGCCCCAGCGTATACCTTTTGTTACATTTGAAATAGAGTCCCTTCGCCCTTTCCTCTTGTAATTCTGTTTTTGTAAGCTTCTTGAAGTTGTCCCAAGGTCTTACTCATACAGTCTTCTCCTTCGAAGTCTCCCGAAAAGCATCTGGTGTCGGCTCCTTGGGTGCCAGAAAGGCGGTGGTCTTCCTGTTCGGACCTCTTGAACTGCTGCCTCCCATTTCTCTCTCCAGGTGCCTCTGATCCTCTACCAATTGAGCTAGCTCCATAGCCTCTCCCAAGTCGCGAGGCCTCATTACTCTAACCGCTTCCCGAATCTCTGGTGTTAGTCCCTTCATGAAATTTTTCTCTAGCACTATCACAGGAAGGCGGTCCAGTCGACTAGCGAGGTACTCGAATCTTTCTCGGTACTCCATCACTGAATCATCCTGTGTCAAAGCGAAGAACTGCTCGTAGAAGTCTCCTCCCCTGCCAGTTTGGAAACGTTCCATCAAACAATCCATGAGCTCTCTCCAACTTTGTATGAATCGTTGCATGTCCCTCCACTAGTACCAAGGCAAAGCCTTCGCTTCCAAACATAGGCCCGCTGCATCAATCTCTCCTTCTCTGTCAGCCCATTAATAGTGAAATATTTGTCTACCTTATAGATTCACCCATGGGCATTCTCACTCTTAAAGATGGGCATCTTCAGCTTTCTCACCTTAGGATCACCCCCGTTTTCCCTGAATCCTCCGTAGCCTCCCATTCCTCGAAGAGGAGATACCTCTCAATCGTCACGCTCTTCCCTTCAGCACTCATACCCAAATCTTCCTCAAAATCCCCTCTGCTTCTTTCAAAATCAGGACCCCGACAATCGAAATCATCCCCTCTCCTTACAAATTCAGCACCCTTCTTGCGTAGCCAATGCTCATCTCCTCCCTAGAAAGTGGTTCTAGATGAGGTATTTCGTCTTCTCCCTCCAGGACCTCCACTTCTGTATTTTTCCTTCCCCTAAACATGTTAGGATTCCCACACCTCTTCCATGGCTGCCGGTAGTTTCCTTTGCTTCTGATGTCGCCAGTTTGGGTTTGGATGCAAGCAATTTCTTCAACTTGTCTTCCACCACGATGAACTTTCCCTCAATCCTTTAATTGACGGATGCGATCTGATTTTGAAAATCATCTATCTTCTCAAAATCTGCTTTGAGTTGCCCAAGTTCTTCCTCCAAAACTTTCACTTTCCTTCCGGCCATTAGTTCCCCTTAGATTGACGTGCTTTGATACCTATTTGATAGGAGACACTTGTAGATCTCAAGTATTTCCTATCAATCTTCGGAAAACAACGATAATTCTCCACAAAGATCCACACAAAACCACGAAATAGTAGATAATTTGTATTATTTGATGAAAGGGGAACGAAAAATACCAAGATACAATTGATCCTCTATTCGAGAGGAGGATCTTCTCTCCCAAATCTCTAGACTCTGCTAGAGCCCAAAGATACTAAGAAATTTTGAAATTCAGCCAAATTCAAGATGCACTGACCCTAGGAAAACCAACTATTTAATGCATACAATTTAAAAAGAAATCTCTAAACAGTCCCTACATTCAAATTTCCCTCCCAAATCCCTCAAAAAACCTTCCAAAACAGCTCGCTAATCCTTGCGGTTTGCGTTCGGCGCGTACAAGAAGCAGCCATTTTTGCCTTTGTTCACATAAGCCGGTCCGACCGGTCTAACAGATTGCTTGCTAGTTATCCATGAAAGAAGAATAGAAAAGGAATTGTTAAAAAGGTCTTTTTGGTGATGTTTTTTGATTGGTATGAATGCTTTGATCTTGGATTTTGGCTTGATATTCACTTAAACAGTCATTGTTCAGTTGCTCTACTTAAGTCCTTTTCTAATGTTAGTTAAATTATACTCATATAGAGTATGATTTTTTAGTACCATATCTTAAATTAAACAACACAGTTAAGAAAATCTGAGCATAAGGGTCATCATGTTTTGGTGAAAGAGCTCCTTAGCTTCAATGGGAAGCCTCTCCTTGAATATTGTACCTAATCATCCGCCATATAGTTTTAGGCTGTGTTCTTCTTTGTATTTATTTTTCTTTATTGTGGAACGACATGATTGATGAAGATGACATTGGCGACATCATACTTTCTCTTAATATATCTTTATCTTGTTGTTGCCTGAAGTTTGTCAATAAGAAAGTCAAATACATAGAAGTAGAGGAAATAAATAGGAGTCCTTGAATTGACTCAACTAATTTTTATTTTTTATTAAACATTGCCATTTCTATTCATTTCTCAAATATTCTCGCATTAAAGAAGTGGATTCTTCTTGCTAATTTTTTGTCGTTGTTTTTCTTTCTATTGATACTAACTTCTGTATTCTTCTAAATGAATCAGATTTATCTGAGGTTCCATGTCAAAAGCGGGATGAACTAAGGGCCTTATGTAATTTTAATGTTTTTCCCTATTCTCTAACACTTGGGTATTCATATTGGGGCGCAGGTGAGGCAGCCTTGATTTCTTTTGCTTTTTTGGTAAAACCAAATCCTTATATCTCATTTATTCTCCCCATATTTCCGTGCGGAGTATGAAGGCAATGAATCCTTTTTGAAAGATACATTTACTTCCTTTTGCATTTTGATAATGTATTGTGTACCTGTACCCGTGATTTCTAATTGGATTGTAGTCTGAAGAAAGAGGTTTCAATCCAACAGATGAAATTTGTGTTTACTTTGTTTTCTGTCTTAATAGCAATTTTAAGTTTTAATGGCAGGAGAGGTGCCATTTCATCGATTCTATCTATAAAAAATAATGAAATTTAAAAACTAAGACTTGAACATTATTTTTATATTCTGAAATTTAATTCAACGGCAAAGGTTAAAGAAAAACTCAATTGTCATGTACTTTTTTTTTAGCCTCCTAAGTTTTGATTATTTAATTCAGTAGTGCTAAAGCATAGTCCTAGCATGGCTAGGACACACATGAAAAAAGGTCAGTTATGTAGTCATTGGAGAGGATTACCATAATCAATAATTTTGTACAAATTTTTCTGGCCATATTTATAAATCCTTCTCAACTTCTTCTCCATTCATTCATATCAAGTTTGCATTATCATGTTAACTTTAGATTTCATGAATCTTTTTTGCACAATTCCTAGTAATGCTAGTGTCTCTATTTCCTTCTAATTTTTTTACATTCTTTCTTCTTGCCTTGTATATCTTTTGCTTGGTGTTTTTCATACTCAAATCACCTAATTGCAGTTTATATATTAACTTTAATAGGTGCTACTCTACCTTCTCCCTAGTATAATCATTTTCAGCTCTCTCTTACCTATTTTTACTACACGTTTTTGTTGCTCTCATTCTACCTCGTTGAATTGGTTGTAAACATTTTCTTTGTTGCCTAACCTTTGAATCTATTACAACATATCTATCTTATTTGCATGTTGTAAAATCCTTCTAGTGATTTCAATAAAATTTTCTTCTATTGGACTATAACAGAGGGAAATATCTTTGCTAGCAAGGAATATGGTTTATTCAAAATGATTTGTAAAGAATATGTTTAAGACCTATGCAACATTTAGTAGGAACAAATGGAAAATGAGTGATAAAACAACAACAAGATGTTTGGGGATGGCTAATGATAATCATTAGTATGGATGCTCAACACATGCACAAAAATTCTATGTTATTATACTGAAAATATAACTCATAGCTAGGACATGTTTAATCAAATGAAGAGTTGGAGGGATTGGCATGATCTTAAAGGATGTGTGATTTAATGATGTTAGAGAAAAACTGATGTATGGAATATACGCTTTAGTTTATATATGAATAATGACAACAAAATGACGTAATTGGCAGATTCATCATGTAAGTGAATGTGTGGATTGAAGGTGTCACGACCCGACCCGGCTAGCCCGATAATATCGGGGCAGGAACAGACGGTCGTACGGAAGAGCATATAAAGCATAATACTTTCATTTAAAATTTTAAGATCAGAACATAAATATCATCCCAAAAATACATGAAAGAGCCACTAATAAAACATCAAACTGTTATGTTTCAAACTGATCAATTATCTCACAATTACTAAAAACTTTCAAACCCATCATCATAACATAAACTTTCACAATTACATAAACTTCAAACCCACGAACTACAAAGAAACAAACCCAAAGACTCAAACTGAAAACATAAAAAGGAACCTTTCATCCTGAGGTCCCCTACGACGATACGTATAAGGTCGTCGAGCAGCCATCACTTCTCTCCTGAAAAGTATTTTTAAACGAGGAATGAGCCAACGCTCAGCAGGTAATTCATAGCTCAGTTAATTTCATAAGATGCATAAATAAAACATTTGTAATTGTAATCATTTCATACGATTTTGCAAGTCATAATCTTTAAACTTTTCACTTTTTCTTGCATTTTTCTTTATTTAACATTTCATTCATCTCAGTCTTTCCTTTCACCTTTTTCATATGTAATGAAAATGCAAAAATGATTATGCTAAATGTATCACCCGTCCCGGAAGTACCCTTATTCGTACTGATCAGGTACGCAGTCAAATTTTTAGCCATTTCCTTTACCATTGGTTCATAAGAACCATCATTTATCATGGCTCATATGAGCCTCCTTTACCAATGCTCGAAGAGCTCCTTTACCAATTTGGCACTTCCGGATCAACATACAACTTGAAATTGTTATTGCTTTTAAATCTTTGAATCATGCTCAATTTCCTTTTATATTTATTTCATTTATTCATATACCTTAATTGCTTTTCAAATAATGCATGAAATGAAAGCATGATACTGTAGGGTATTCTTTAAAACATGAATATCAAAATATTTGACAGTAAATAAAATATCTGACAAGAAAATAAATACATGAAATTGCATTCTAAGCATAAAAATTTTAAAACAGTTATAAATTTAACTGGGGTCTGAACACCTACCTCAAATCAAGTACGGCACGTCGTTTCGACCAAATTCTTTCACCTTAAACTTCTAGGATCACTACCTAAGAAATTTACAAAAACGACGTCATATAATTTGAATAACCTAAATCCTAAGTTTCAATCTCTCATTACCCTTTAACTATTTCTTAAAATACTTAATAGATTTTTAATTAAAATAATGTAAATTTTCGGATTTAAATAATTACTAAATTTTCGGAAAGTCATAAGTCACAATTTTATCAATGTCATGTTCTAAAAATATTCCAAACATATAATTAATAATTATTTTTTAAATTTTCGGATTAAATAAATTATGGAAATTAAGAAAATGAAAATTCCGCTAAAAACTTAATATTTTTCTTTAAAAACATTTCCTAAACCCTTAGGAATAATTTTTGTAAAAGCATCTTGAAGGAATTAAATTTTTCGTCAAAACCCAAATTTATAAATCTCCAAAAATTCCTCCAATTTCTTCGTTTTCATTGCTAAAACATTCCTCTAATCCTCCCTTAAAGTTTTCGTAAAGAAATTGCGAAAGAAAATCGAAATTTGGAAAAACCCTAGATTTTTCGATCTCAAATAACTTGAGATTTAGGAAGTTTCGTTCTAAAATAATCATACCTGAGTGTTTCTCTAGTCGTCCCCTTCGATTTGACCTAAAACTTTCGCCTGAAGATCGCCGCCAAAGTGCCCTCGCCGAACCCGCCGTTCGCCCCTTGTCCGCTCGGTTTCGGTCTTTCACGCGAAATGAGCGAATGAGGGAGAGAGAGGGTTCAGTTGGCTATAATAGGAAGAAAAGGGTTTTGCTAAAGACCAATTTGCCCTTACTTAAGTAATTTCGTCATATTAAACGGTTACGGGTAAAAAGGGTATTATGAAACTTCGTTCTATTTTAATTCCTAAAATAGACGAAATTAGGTATAAGTGTTATATATCAAAACGATCAGAATTTTGCGTAGGATTTTCTAAAATTATTTCCGTTGAATTTCGTTAACATTGAAAATCTCACTTAAACCTCGTCGAGGCGCTTTGAAAAGCGTGTGACGCCCTAAAATAGTATTTTCGGGTTTTACATAAGAAAGAATATTAATGATTAGATTAAATAGGGTAATGTATTTTTCTATGGGAGATATGCTAATAACCAGAGATAAAATTGTATAAAATAGAATGATTATGTTATTGTATGGATTGGAAGTTTTTGAAACAAAGAAAATGGAAATACTGAAATGAATTAAATAGAAATAGATCAGTGAGATTGATGAATGATAATACTAAGAATGGTGGGTTGCAAAATGGTTGCATCAGAGAGTTTAGCAATAGCACATTTTGATGATGGGCAAGCAGAAAATATATTGAGATGATTTTGATGCAAAATGGGAGTACACGTGCTTTTACTGATGAGGTGTCAGTGGGGCGAAGATGGGTGGCAGTGGTTTTATTTTTTGTTGAAGTATAAGTATGTACAACGATTGTTGAAGAACAATTCATGAAGGCAAGCCCCTACCTTGCTGTGCATCAGGCTATCAGAATGGTGGGGGATGGCATTTCCTGTGATATATGCAAACACATAGGCAAACAGATAGGTGCAGTTATGTATAAAATACTCCTTTCACTCATGTCATAGACTCATTTTAAGTCTCTAGTTGTAGCAATTATAAAGAATTTTCTTCGATTGCACATTCCATTACCATCTAAGACTATCATCTTTGTTATTTTATACTTTTTATTATTTAAATCTTGATCAATAGATAGGCTTTATTAATTAGCTGAACCAACTGTAGATATAGTGGTTGAAGGAGTCGTTGATGACATGCCAGCTTAGTTATGGTTGTTTTATTACAGAATGTTTGGCTCATGATGAAAACATGTGACATGTGAGCAGGTATCTAGCTTGTTGCAATTAGAAAAAGGATCACTGCTTTGCATTTTTAATTCTGTAGTTTCTCATATGCATGAATGCTCTTATCCTCAAGTATGTAAAGAAAAACTTAATTAGCTTTGTAAATTTGATCTATAATATCTATTTTTCTTTCATTTGATGATAGTAATTTCTTCATATTTAATCCTTTTTGTGCAATCAAGTTTCATGGCTATCTATGTTTACTGTGATTTAAGAGCTGGTTTTGAAGGAAATGAAAAGGTTCAATAGAACTATTCTTGGTTATCGTACAAACTGCTCATCCAATTTATTTATTTTTGCTTATCTTTTTTTTTTTTTTAAATTGTGAAGATCACATCTTGAAGCAAATACTACCATCTGGTGTGGAGGCACCTTCTTCTTTTGAGACAATAGTTAAGTATTTGTGTTTATTGTTTATTTCTGTAATTCTCAATCTCTTTTTTTTTGTTCTATTATGTGTTTGCTGCTTTACTCCAAATTGAATAACTGTTAGATGTTCACTTAGTCGTATGCCTCTTTTTACAAATTTTACCTTATGATAATGTTTTTTGCTAATATAAAATTACCATCTCCAGGTCATATTGCTCATTTGAACATAACTGAAGAGCTGCTTCCATACAAGGATATCATTGCAAGGATCATCTATGATGTATGCTAGTCTACTTTGTTTCTTATTATTTTTTGTTTCTGGCTTCAGAATTTAGTTCATGAAAATTTGCAAGAGTGATTACATTTGAGTTGTTAAGGCTATTGGTCTATTTCACCTTGGCTCGTGCTTCTATAAACAATTTCCTTATGCCCTTAATTATTTTTTTTCCCTAGATTTTACTCAATTCCCTCAATAGTAGCTGTCTTCATGTTGGTCCTTCGTTGCTAAGATTATCAAAACTTATCTTAAAAATGTCGTATAACCTAACACTTGCCAAGAATGAGATAGATGACAATTTCCTTACAAAATGCCAGGAACAAGAAACAATTTCCAAGGAGAGGGAGGTGCTGTGAATGGGGCGCATAATCATCACCCACTGTATGTGCAGGTGTCTAGATGCGTAGTTGTGGTTAGGTATTCTACCCCTATAAAACATAACTTTTGATATAATAACATGAGTTAAGCTTGTGACACCTTAAGTTCAAGCTCAAGATTAGGATGGATGACAACACAAAAGGGAATTTGTTGGAGGTGATCCCTTATAGTAGGAAGAGATGGAGAAGAGAGTCCCATTGATGATTGAAGATCAAATCATCTTAGTTAGCACATATCCTTAATTAGAACCTTCATGTAAGAGAGGGAGCGAGGGAAGGGGAGGGTAGGAGAGAGGGATGAGGGAAAGAAGAGAGAGAATTAGAGAATGGGCGAGAAAGATAAGATAATAGGTAGAGTGGGAGAGAAGATGGGAGGGTGGAGAGAGAGATGAAGGGATAGGGAGAGAGAAGAGATGGAGGTAGGGAGTAATCTCACAACCAATGACTATTTCTATATATTTTCCGACATAATATTTTTCTAAAAGTGCCACAATTTTCTAATTTACTTGAACATTGGTTTTTGTATTAGATATTTACATTGCATTTGTATGTATATTTGTGTAAATTACATCATGTTTGCATATTTTCAAATTTCTAGTATAATTTTGGGTGGTGTCAACTTTTGAATGGTATTGAATTTCTTTGAAAAAGTATTTCTTACTCTTTTTTCAAGAAATACAGATGCTTTCTAGACCCGTTTGTATGTAACCCATTCTTATTGGAATATCCCATCAAAACATATCAAATATACCACTTCCAAATTTACGAACAAAAACTAGATTGTAATACACCTTCAATACTTGTCCGAGATATGGGTGGGATAGAGCTCACAAGCTCTGCATAAGCTTATATCGAAAACCTTGTTTGCTCACTTGTTGCATAGCATGTTACTATCTGTCGATATTTTAATAGCATTTCATTATTTGCTTTATTATATATATCAATGTTTTGACTATCTTAATGTAATTTTTACATTTGATGCATCGTGATAATCATATGGTTGAAGTTGTTAAAATCAAAGCTTATGGCTCTCAGTTTTAGATAGTCTACTTTGGCAAAATTGCCAAACCTCCTTAGAAAAAGTTATTTTGATACCTTTTTGAACATGCAAGCCGTGCCCTAGCCATATCTTTCCCAATTTTTAAAATTTGGGTATTACCTGATCATATTGTTGTTTATTCCTATCGATTATCATACACATTATTGATAGATCTTTTCTTGCATGGACTAGTCTCCCACTATCCAGATAATGGTAGAGCCTCTTGGTTAGGTTTTGTAATATTTTTCAAATTTGTATTTTCCTACCAATTGGACATATTCTATTAGATTATCCAAACACTTATCAGATTCTTGTTTGTTCTTGTATATGCAGAAAAATCAACCAAAAATCAAAACTGTAGTGAACAAGGTTGGAACTATAACAAATGAGTTTCGGGTGCCAAATTTTGAAGTTCTTGCTGGAACAAATAATATGATAACTGAAGTTAAGCAATATGGTGCTACATTTAAACTTGATTACAGTTTGGTTTATTGGAATTCAAGACTTGAACATGAGCACATTCGGTTAGTTTCCCAGTTCCAGCCTGGAGAAGCCATTTGTGACATGTTTGCTGGGGTTGGTCCCTTTGCCATCCCTGCAGCGCAAAAAGGGTGTTTTGTATTTGCTAATGATTTGAACCCTCATAGTATTCATTACTTAAAGGTTAACGCAAAGATTAACAAAGTGGAGGATAATATGATTGCTTATAACATGGATGCTAGAGAATTTATGCGCCATTTGATGACAGTATCAAAATCTGAGCTAGACACAGACACACAATTAACCGACATATTAGTTGCAAAAACTAATGAAATTCCAGTGGTTAAAGGGCCATCAGAAGGTCAGCTAATAACTTTAAGTTGTCGCACTGCTCCTTCCCCCGCCCTATCCTCAGCAGCAGCAGTAATAACATGAGGCCTTCTATTGGTTGCAGATGTCACTGAGCCACTGGAAACTGGAACCACTTATAAAGAAGGCCTTCATTATTCAGCCACAACAGCACATACTGCTGCTAAAAGACGTCCTATATTTAGCAGGGAAGGTAAATATTTTGGAATGCATAAGTTTATGTTATGGAAATCTTGAAAAACAGCTTCACCTTCAAATTCATGATTGAGATGAGCTATAATTACTGTCATAAATAATACCACTGTTTTTTTTTTAAATAAACATATTTACCTTTGATAACTGCTTAAAATGTGAGTACTGGCTGCCTGACAACCAATTACCTGCTCTTGCATAGTCTACTATTAGATGTAGCACTTTCTTGAGCAGGTTAAATCATAGTAAAAATACCTATTTGTTGTAATTTATAAAAATCACGCTCAGTAATTTTCATAGAACTGCATACCAATAATCTCGATTTGCTTATATTTAGAAAGTCTTGTGTTTTGTCTACCTTATTAATTATTTGCTTACCATGACATTTAATATATTTACTTAATGTTTTAAACATCGGATGTGAGCCTTTTTTGTTAAGTTTTTAATGAGACCCAACTTTATCTATTCAAGAGTATGAATTTGAATCTTCATTAGACTAGCATATATCATTTTGTATGTTCTGGATCACTTAATTCTCAACTATTGCAGATCCTGCTCGTGTCCAAGCTTGTCTGTTAGCAATTTTTTTGTCTGGTTTAAAGTTTTCATTGCTAACCCATTGTGGTGTCATCTGTCAATCATTAGCAACATTCTGGGACAAACTGTTATGTTATTTTTTTAAGACAATGAAGAAAATACAAGGCTGCTGAAAATAAAATCCTTAAAAGAGAAGTGAATGAAGACCATATTCATTATGCTAGAAACATGTACAGTAAGCTTTTATTTACTTCTGATCTTTTCACTAAAATTGTTTTCATTGTAAAAAGGGGTTGGCTATTGCTGTGTGTGTGTGTGTTAGGAGAATTCTAATAACGAGCATGACGTCTTAAGCAAGAAACTACTTTGTCTTTAAGGGTCTATTTGGTTGTTTGAAAAAGGAATCCAATATAAAAGGAATGCAGTGTAAAAGGAATGCAATGTAAAAGGAATATTTCAAGTGAAATCTTGTGTTTTTCTCCTCGTTTCCCAATTTTCTGCTGCGTTTTCCCTATTTTTTTGCTGTTTTTCTGTTGTAAACAGCAGATTTCTGCTGGATTTCTGCTGTGGACAGCAGTTTCCATCGGATCAACTTCAGTTTTGGTGAGAAACACTTGGGAACTTAAGTGTTTCCTATCATAATACACCCTCAATACTTGTCCGAGATATGGGTGGGATAGAGCTCACATGCTCTGCATAAGCTTATATTGAAAACCTTGTTTGTCACTTGTTGCATAGCATGTTACTATCTGTCGTTATATTTTTAAAAAAATAAAAAATAAAAAAAAAAGTTACTATCTGTCGATATTTTAATAGCATTTCATTATTTGCTTTATTAGATATTTCAATGTTTTGACTATCTTAATGTAATTTTCACATTTGATGCATCGTGATAATCATATGGTCGAAGTTGTTAAAATCAAAGCTTATGGTTCTCAGTTTTAGATAGTCTACTTTGCCAAAATTGCCAAACCTCCTTATACGAAGTTATTTTGATACCTTTTTGAACACTCAAGCCGTGCCCTAGCCATATCTTTTTCAATTTTAAAAATTTGGTTATTACCATATCATATTGTTGTTTATTCCTATCGATTATCATACACATTCTTGATAGATCTTTTCTTGCATGGACTAGTCTCCCACTATCCAGATAATGGTAGAGCCTCTTGGTTAGATTTTGTAATATTTTTCAAATTTGTATTTTCTTACCAATTGGACATATTCTATTAGATTATCCAAACACGTATCAGATTCTTGTTTGTTCTTGTATATGCAGAAAAATCAACCAAAAATCAGAACTGTGGTGAATAAGGTTGGAACTATAACAAATGAGTTTCGGGTGCCAAATTTTGAAGTACTTGCTGGAACAAATAATATGATAACTGAAGTTAAGCAATATGGTGCTACATTTAAACTTGATTTTAGTTTGGTTTATTGGAATTCAAGACTTGAACATGAGCACATTCGGTTAGTTTCCCAGTTCCAACCTGGAGAAGCCATTTGTGACATGTTTGCTGGAATTGGTCCCTTTGCCATCCCTGCAGCGCAAAAAGGGTGTTTTGTATTTGCTAATGATTTGAACCCTCATAGTATTCATTACCTAAAGGTTAACGCAAAGATTAACAAAGTGGAGGATAATATGATTGCTTATAACATGGATGCTAGAGAATTTATGCGCCATTTGATGACAGTATCAAAATCTGAGCTAGACACAGACACACAATTGACCGACATATTGGTTGCAAAAACAAATGAAATTCCAGTGGTTAAAGGGCCATCAGAAGGTCAGCTATAATTTTAAGTTGTTGCAGTGCTCCTTTCCCCGCTCTATCCTCAGCAGCAGCAGTAATAACATGAGGCCTTTTATTGGTTGCAGATGTCACTGAGCCACTGGAAACTGGAACCACTTATAAAGAAGGCCTCCATTATTCAGCCACAACAGCACATACTGCTGCTAAAAGACGGCCAAGATTTAGCAGGGAAGGTAAATGTTTTGGAATGCATAAGTTTATGTTATGGAAATCTAGAAAAACAGCTTCACCTTCAAATTCATGATTAAGATGAGCTATAATTACTGTCAGAAATATTGTTCCACTGTTTTTTTTTTTAAAATAAACATATTTACGTTTGATAACTGCTTAAAATGGAAGTAATGGCTGCCTGACAACCAATTATCTGCTCTTGCATAATCTAGTATTAGATGTAGCACTTTCTTGAGCAGGCTAAATCATAGTAAAAATACCTATTTGTTGTAATTTATAAAAATCATGCTCAGTAACTTTCATAGAACTGCATACCAATAATCTTGATTTGCATATATTTGGAAAGTCTTGTGGTTTTTATGCCTTATTGATTATTTGCTTACTCTGTGCGTTGTCAACATAATACACATGTCTAGTTAACCATGACATTTAATCTATTTTCTTAATGTTTTAAACATCGGATGTGAGCCTTTTTTGTTAAGTTGTTAATGAGACCCAACTTTATCCATTCAAGAGTATGAATTTGAATCTTCATTAGATTAGCATATATCATTTTGTATGTTCTGGATCTGATGTAGAACATAACATGCAAAGATGATTAGATTAAGGAATTTGCACGCTTAATATTTAGAGCACAATAATTATATATTTATAGTGATTTCGAATGACAACATAAAATGCAAAGAGCGGTGACATAAGCTTAGGCTAAATCACTTGTGTAGGAGTTAAGCCCGTAAAACAATCAATTAGTCTAACATTGCATACATGGAAAGTTTCAACAAGAAATCCCTAAACTAACAATGAGATCAATACTATGAAGGATCCCTCACACAACTCTATAATTTACTAGGCTTTAGCGGAGGACTAATACGATCTCAGTGAATCAATTAAATTCCACAATTGAAAGTAACGAGGAAAATAAAGAGTGAGGGAAAGAGTTCACTGAAGGTAGCCGGCGACGGATGGATTGGTTGACGTCTCACGATCATCCACGATCCGGTTGGGAGGTGTTCCTTAATTGACGATACCAACGTGAAGATAATGCGTTAAATGTAGCTTTCCACAGAGTCTTCGACGTCCAAATTGAAATCGAAGAATGAAGATTAGAGAATGTCGGTCTGGTCCAAAGAATCTTCTACGAACTCATGATTAACATCTGGGTCGGCCATGCATGATTGTCTAAGAGAGAAAGTAGAGAGTGAGAGGGGGAAGGGATTGGGTAGGGTTTGGCTAAGAAGGAAGGGGTGTGGGTTAAGTGGAAGTGATCTTGTTGAGGTTGACCGGCGGCTTGGGGATTTGAAGTGGCCGGCGGGTGTTTGGGGAAGAAGTGGTGGCCGAATGTAGGAGAAACGAAGAGACGATAAAAAAATCCTACGAGTACTAACCGCGAGTCCCAGAATCCACCGATGGCTGACGGGTGATGCGTGACCCTCTCCTAAGGTTTCTCCTCTTAAGAACTCACAAAGAGATCAAGAACAAGAAAGCTGAAATTTTTATTCATATTCACCGTTAATTCAAAATACAAGAGAACTAGATTATAAATAAGACTCATGAAAAGAAAAGAAACAATGACTAAAATGCCCTTCGGGCTACAACACCACATGACCACCCTAGGGATAAAATGAGAAAAACAGAATATAAAATAAACTAGTACATAAAACACATAAAAATAATAAACTCCAGATCGTAGCTGCTGATTTTTGATGTCCTCATCAGGATCACTTAATTCTTAACTATTGCAGATCCTGCTCGTGTCCAAGCTTGTCCGTTAGCAATTTTTTTGTCTGGTTTAAAGTTTTCATTGCTAACCCATTGTGGTGTCATCTGTCAGTCATTAGCAACATTCTGGGACAAACTATTATGTTATTTTTTAAAGACAATGAAGAAAATACAAGGCTGCTGAAAAATAAAATCCTTAAAAGAGAAGTGATTGGAGAGCATATTCATTATGCTAGAAACATGTACTGTGAACTTTCATTTACTTCTTATCTTTTCACTAAAATTGTTTCCTTGTAAAATGGGGTTGGCTATTGCTATGTATGTGTGTTAAATAGGAAAACTACTTTGTCTTTAAGAGTGTGTTTGATTGCTTAAAAAAAGAATGCAGGCTATTGCTATGTGTGGGTGTTATGAAAATTCTAATAACGAGCATGACGTGTTAAGAAGGAAAACTACTTTGTCTTTAAGGGTATGCTTGATTGCTTAAACAAGGAATGCAGTATAAAATGAATGCAGTGTAAAATGAATGCAATGTAAAAGGAATACTTCGTAGTTGTTTGGATGGAATGCATGACTTTACTTTTTTTGTTTGATTTGAAATAAAGTGAATGCAATGTACAATGTAAAATGGTTGTGTCTGGAGCGGCCACAGCCGGCGGCGGTCAAACAAGAAACAAGCGTTGTAAAGCGTTCTCACCCAAAACTGGATGAGTTGCCTCCAAAATAAACTACAAAGTAATCCAACCAAATGACAAATTTAATAAAACTCCTGATACTTTACACCCTAAAGTATTCCAACCAAATAGCCCCTAAGAGGAAATGTAGTAGTCACTCATAAGGAGAGGTTGATTTGAATTGTAAAAGGACATATAACAGTTGGAGGTCTCTCTCTCTCTCTCTCTCTCTCTCTCTCTCTCTCTATTTTGCTTAGGAATGGGTAACATGTTACAACAACTTCGATTGGTGATGCCATAATTATTGACTATCGTATTCTGCTTCCTGTATCACAATGCATTCATCTTTAATTTCATGATTTGTCACATCCTGCATAGATCTCGCCACTCTCAACTTCCTGACATTGTCATCCACTGGATGCTCACACTTTAATCCTCCTGTATCAATTTATTACTCTTTGTTTCTATTTTTTTCAGTTTCATTTTGATTTCTCTCCGTGCTTTAAGAGACCTCTAAAACTAGCTATGTTGGCCACCATTTCTTTTTCATTTTTTCTGCTCCCCTCTTTTTTTTTTTTTCATCCTTTAACTTTTTTCTTTCTCCCTTTCTATTTCTTTGTGACGTAATTTGTTCTTTGTGTTTTCTTTTGCCATATTACTTAGATTCTCTCTTCCCCCTTCCTACTTCCTCCATCCTTGTCTATTTCTCTTATTTATCACGCCTCTGAGCCATGCATGTTTTAGTAGACAAACTATCCCCGTATACAAAATATAGGACTATTTCATGTTGCTTATTTTTGCAAGAATTTGAGCTTTGGACGTCCACTAGATACGCTTTACAGATCAAACGCCATACCACTCCACCAAATAATTGGTGCTTGACAGCGTACTTGAGGTATACCTGGTTGTCACTATTAATTGGTTTACAGAACTCATTGATTGACCTTTAATGCAATAACTTTGAGTTTCCCTTTTTCTAACAATTGAGAAAAGGTGCTTTGATACCCAAAAATTAATGCTGAAGAAAATAGAAGGGATGCCTATCTTTGTTTTATTTATTTATTTAATAATTGGGGTTATTTTGAAACTTATTGTTGTACTTGTTGATATCTCGTACTATGAACAGATAAAAAAGCTAATGATGATTTCACAAATGGATCAAGTCAAAGAGATGGAAATTTTAAGAAAAGGATCAGAGGATATAAATTTCCACTGCCTAGGATCTCAGAACATTTTGACCATGTGATAATGAATCTCCCAGCTGCTGCTTTACAATTTCTTGGTGAGGAATTGTTGATCTGATGATCTTTGAATTGAATCTTGCTAGTCATTGTTAAACTTTAGAGCTCGTTCCCTTTCCATTTTTGCTTTAGAAGTTCAACTAATTAATCGCTCGTCTTGTAAGAACTTTTGAAGTTCCTTATTTTCTGTGGTTGATGAAGGTTATATTTCTTATTTATTAGAAGTATTTATTCATTGCTGATACTGGTTATGTGTTCTTTTCAATTTGAGATCTTGCGTAATACAAGGAGTTGTTTGTTAATATCATGTATATTTTTGAGTTTTGATAATGTGAAAGTTGTACAGTTGTACAATTGTAAAGTGTGAAAAATTAAGACCACGGAGGTTTATCACTTCAAAGATAATTCTAAAAATACGCTTATTTGAGCTTATCGCATTCCTCTTCTTTGAAACTTGCATTTGCATTACTAAATTTAAAGCACAAAAAAATGTACAGTAGGATATAAACATGTATGGGGACTCTATAAGAGACTTACCTCAACAAAATAAAAAGAGAGAGAGGGAAAAGCGGTACAAACTATATCATTCCATTTACATTTCACAAAGAAATAAACAAAAACTGCATATCAATGTCAATGTGAGCCCCCCAAAGTGCTTGTAGCATTTACCAAATAACCTAGCATAGGATGTCATTCCTCTTCAGCTTTCATATCTATGCAGAAATCGATCCAATAGCTGGAAGCCATTGTTAGTATCCAATTACTGGCAAAACCATGTTTAGGTGAACTTTTGAAAAGAAGTCTAGCATAAGGGGATTGTAGTGGAGAGGAAGGTGATTGTTATGTGGTACTGGCAGGAAAAACCAGAATTGAAAGCACAAATAAATATATTAGTGGGGATTAGAAGTGGTAGCTGCTCAGGATTATCAAGCTATTATTTGGCGAGTGTTTGATATGACTACTCCTTGGCGCTGAATTGTAGCGGATGAAAGTTGAAAATGTTTGATGGTTGAATACCCAATATCTGTAGTTGAGTTGATTTAAAGGTTTTGTAACGGAAGTGGATGCAGAATTTGTGAAAATCTATAACGGAAATCTTATTTCAGCAAACCAGAAATTGGAAAACCAGGAAAAGAACTCATAAGGACATTTTTTATTCAAAATAACAATGAAAGAATGACAAGATACAATTGGATCATCAAAATTGGAGAGGAAGATCCGGTTCTCCCAATTCTCTAGCCGCCGGCTAGATCCCAATCAACCTAGGAATAATCTAACTTTAGCAAAGAAGACATAATATGAAATCATCTCATAGTTAGCCTTAAATAGTTTCCCCTCATTCCCTCCCAAATTAGCCCCCTTTCCCTAAATAATTCCCTCTCATATTTGAATTCAAATTAGATCTCTTTCCCTAATTAATTCCCTCCCAATTGTAATTAAAAATTTCATAAACAATTCACCCTTAAATTTCTCCTCGTTTTTCCTAAATAATTCTCTCTTATATTTTGAATTCAAATTACATATTTTACCCTAAATAATTCCCTTCTAATTGTAATTAAAACTTTTCTAAATAATTTCCTCTTAATTAAGAACATTCCTAATTAACTTCCTCTTGATTATGAAACTTTCTAATTCCTCCCAATTTTAGTGTTCTCTGTTAAATAATTAATTCCCTTTGAGCCCCCTCTCTCCTTACCCGCCGCCCACACTAGTGGGATCCACAGGCTCAACTGGTCAATCAATACTCCTCTCTCGAAGTGCCATCTTGTCCTCAAGGTGAAACGAAGAAAACTATTGCTGAAGCATTGTACTAATACTAGTGAAGTAGAAAATGGATTGACACTTGGTCGAACTATCCCTACCTCGAGCATCTCCTTGATTAATCTCTCAATTTCTTTGTTCTGGATTTGAAGATGACAATACAAATGAACACTGATAGGTGAGACTTCTTCCTTCAAGATGATAGCATACCATACTCATGTTCCCGCAAAGGAGGCAAACCCTGAACTAACTAGAACACCCTTGATACTGGTGTATGGGTGGTTGAACCATGTCTGGTGCTTTATTTTCTCCCAATATTTTTCTCTTTCCAAACTCTGCAGCTCCACTAAAAATTTCACTCCTTCACCCTTTCCTCTTTTTGGAAGTGGCTCCAAATGTGGCATCATCTATTCTTCTCCTAACATTTCCACCTCATGATCTTTCCCTCCCCTTAACGGATTAGGGTTTCCTCACTCCCTTGGTCCTCGGCGGCTCCCCTCTCTTCCGACTATACCGTTTTGTTTTGAAACTTTAGCATCTTTCTCATCATCTCCTCCATGATGGCAAACTTCTCATCGATCTTTTTATGGATGGCTAAAAATTGCTTTTTGAAATCTGAAATCTTTTCTACAAAATAAGATTTCAATTGTTTAATCTCAGCTTCCAGAACTTCTACCTTTCTTCCTGCCATGGGTACTCAGATATAGGCTCCAAATAGCAAAAATAACAATTATGGTTTTCCAACAGCAAAGATCAGCAAGACGAAGGGAACAAATGCAGCATAAATCAACGAGGAAGACTTATATTTCAGCCCAAGATTGATACCTATTTGATAGGAAGTGGATGCATAATTTGTGAAAATCTATGGCTGAAATCTGATTTTAGCAAACCTAAAACTAGAAAACCAGATAAAAAACTCACAATAACACCTTTTTTATTCAAAAAAGTTATGAAAGAAGATAAGATACAATTGGATCTTTAATTGGAGAGGAAGATCCGGCTCTCGCAAATCTCTAGCACTTGCTAGAGTTAAATCAGCCTAAGAACAATATAAATTCAAAAATCAAGACAAAATTTGAAATCACCCCATAGTTAGCCTTGAATAGGCTCCCTTAATTCCCTCTGAAATCAACTCCCTTTCGTTAAATAATTTCCTCTCATATTTGAATTTAAATTAGTTCATTTTCCCTAATTAATTCACTCCCAATTGTATTTAAAACTTTCATAAACAATTTACCCTTATTTTCTCCTTCTTTTCCCTAAATAATCATTCTTATATTTTGAATTCAAATTAGATCTCTTGCCCTAAATAATTCTCTCATAATTGTAATTAAGAACCTTCCTAAACAATTCCCCCTTGATTAAAAATCTTCATAAACAATTCCTTCTTAATTAGAAAATTTTTTAATTCCCTCCCAATTAAGTCAATCCTAGTTTTCTAAATAAACATTCCTAATTCCATCACGATTTTGGTCTCCTATGTTAAGTATTAATCCCCTTTGAGCCCCCCTCCCCCTCCTTGCCCCCGCCGCTTTATACTAGTGTCACGACCCAACCCGAATGCTCGATTTAACGAGGCGGGAACTAAAAGTCGGACGGTAGGATTAAATCATTTCAATTCATAAGCGATACAACATCAAAACATCAAAATTTTCTCCTCTCATCTGAAGAGCCACAAACAAAATTTCTCAAATACTTGATATTTGAAAAAAAAAATCATAAATTACTTGTTTTCAATGTTGCGTCGTCTTCTATAGACGAACTCTTCCTTTTATGCCATTTCTAAATATCTGAAGACATACCTGAAACATTGTTTAATAGGATGAGTTTACAAGGTAAACTTAGTGGGTAATTTCTATAACAATTAATATGTATAAGTACAATACAATTAACCTTTAATATAAGTCTATTCATTTAACATTGATATACATTTCTTTTCATTGTTCATTTCATACCATTCATTCACTTATACATATCGTATCATACTCATTTATTATAACCTTTATAATACTTTATCATATATTCTTTTCTCCATTTAATTAGTACATGAACACCGTCTAAATGTACCAAAGGTTCAACCATTTTTATTTCCATTTCCATTTTTTTCCATAACCTTTTCCTTTTACGTGAACGAGTATGTTGCTTCCCCAGCCAGTACCATACGGGGTGAACTCCTTTAAATTTTGCATGCATATCCTTTTCCCTTTTCATTCTTTGTTTGTTTATTTTCATTCATTTTCATATATCATTCATTCATATGCATACTTTCTTGATACATATATGTATCATATATATTTTTATATATCCTTTTCACATATACATACAATTCCATTCATGACATTTCATTCATTTATTTTCTGTTGTAACAATATCTATATTCATTTATTCATTTGAATTTACATCATTTCACACATGATAATTTCCAAAAAAAAGTAAAACCTTTGAAGTAAAACCATGATATAAAATTACTATGTCATGTTCGAAAGAAAATATAAAATATTAAAATTTTCACAACTATAATTATCCACTTTAATCTTTCAAATCTTCGATCATTGTCACAACCTCAGCTTCAATTTCCTTTCTTGTTGAATTCTGAAAGAACTCAACTCCTACAACTTGCTTTCTTTCCTTCCAAAATTCAACGAGGAGATTTTCCAAATCCCAAAACCTTTCTCTTTCTTCCTCACAAATCCTTTCTCCTCGCTTCCAAATGTCTTCCTTATGTTTTTCCCTCTTTCCCCCGGTCGTTCCTCTCGCTTCTTCGTAATCTCTACTTCTTTGGCGGTAGGAATGAAGAGGAGTTGTTGTTTCTTATCCCCAAACACGATGGATTGCTAAAAAATGGCGAATCGAAAACTCTAAAAACCTCCTATGCATGCGTTCGGTTCCGCCCCAAAAGTCTGCCTTCTGCCTGTTCACGGATGCTTCTATTTTGTGAAAAGGCTCCGATGCCTTTTAATAGATCTGGTCGGTTCAGTTGAACAGGCCAGATCAAACCGTTTATTACAACTAGTGATGCCTATAGGCACAGCTGGTCCATCACTAACTTGATATGCCTTGTTGTGATACGTATGCTTTCCACAACTAGCTGCTAGAGATTCATCTTCATCCAATGCTGGAAGTTCACCTATTGAGTGAATCAAGCCATGCATAAATTGGGACTAGCTTTATTTTACTTGAGCGAGCAAATCTTTATAGATTCTTCCAATGTTGTGTACCTTGCGACATTAACCTTCTACGTTACTAACGGGCTCTAGCTGCAGAGGAAACATAAAAGCGCAAATAAATCTAGGATAATTTAAAACTGGTGTGATTCAGTTAAAGAGCCAAGGTGATATTATATAACTTTAGACTTGCACATGCTGTAAAGGATAGTTGTGTCATTTTTTATTTATTTCTATTTTCTGCTAAGTATTACATAAACTGTTAAATCTATTTTTCCTAAATTATTTTGAACAATTTCTATCAATGTAATTTTTGGTCTATCATTTTTCCCTCGTGAACTTTTTTCAATACTTATTTATCTAAATTATCTAATGGGAATTTTTATGTTTTATTATGCATGTCCAAACCACTTAATTTTATTTTAAATTATCTTCATTAGATTTCATTCTAATTGTTTTTCAAATATAGTCATTCTAATTTATGACGTTTTTATATTATAAAAGTTTGAATTTTTTTTTTTTGATGTTGCAACAAATTTCTTAAAGCAACCGAGTAATTAAAGCTTGAACATAATAGACCGCAAGGTTAAAACACAGTTTGAAACTAGTATGGATAGTATTACATCAAAAAAACAGAAATAGAGAAGTTTAACCGGCTACAACCCCAAAAATAGCCTCGAGTAGAAAACATTTAACAACTCACTTCTGCACTAATCAAAGCTGGGTTTGCACTCTCTTCACATTGTGTAGAGTGTGTGATTTATATGCATTTCCTAGCCAGTTTTTCATGCCCCGCTACTTTTACTTCCTGCATACACAAATAGATTGATTATTTTTTCAGAGTACGAGGGAGACAAATATTCAATTATATTTCATAGGCTCTTCATATTGCCGCCTAAAATGGAGCCTTGACATGTTTCTTCTATGAAGTATAGACAAGATACGGACATGATACAACTCGATCATAAGGATGTCTCGTACTTAGGATACGGCAGTGTCATGCATGATATTTTTTTTTTATGAATTATTAATATAAAATATATAGTCAAAACACTTAACTCAAAATGCCAATATTGTTAAGAGTTTCCTTCTTTCATCATTCCTTTTTCCATTTCTACTGATCTGGTTGGATGATTTAACAGATGTTTTTAAGGGTCTTCTCCAAAGAAGATACTGGAAAGGATCTCTACCTTTATTACACTGCTATTTCTTCTTGCGGTCAAATGAAACTGCAGAATCAATACTACAAGTGAGTTATTTCTGAATTTCATGATTGCTTCGATCATATTTTCTTTTTTTGCATGTATTTAGAATAGTTTTTTTTAGTGCTTCCATGTTATCGGTTGTTGGATAGGTAGCTTTAGAATAATGTTTTTTTTTTTTTTCTGATCTGGCTATTAATCTCACTTTGTATAGGCGTCGTTCATTATTTTAGCCCCGTTAGCTGTAGAGACGTTTGCATATGTTACGTTTCTTTATAGTTTCTTCCCCCGGGGTAATGATCATTGCCCTAAGCAATTATATGGATGTGAATTTAAATATTTCAATCATGTAATTTTCCAGTCGTCCACTTTATATACCATGTATTGCCAGGGATTGCAGAATCTACTTTGGATAACTGCCACAGTTTAAGATTTAATGAATCGACTAGCAAAAAAAAAAAAAAAGGCTTTTTCCACCTTAGATTTAATACTGCAATCTTGCTTGGAAGAAATGAAGGTTAAAGATTTTGGTTCGTTCAAGCTGATACACCTTTGTTTGAGGAAATGAAATTTTAATTTCTTTTATATTTTATTTTTTTTTTGTTACTAGCAAGGGGCTTCGTGCATTGTTTGAGAAAAATCTAAGTGACATGGTGGAACAACTTCAACAGATAAAATTTTAGCACCATAGCCTTTGTCATTTTTCTGAAGATTACGAATCTTAGTATGAGGCCTGAAGAATATGTAGTTGTGTTAATATGGATAGTATTAAAGCATTCATAAACTTATTAATCCTTTAGTTGCCAATATTTATACATACATTGGCTATTGATTCTTCTTTGCATGAATGTAATGTGTCTCATGGTGCTGTGGTTGTTGACTCTTATTCGAATGAATTTAATGTGGCTCAAGGTGCTTTTAATTGTGGTGATAATGAACTTTGTGCTGTTAATTTGGGAGTGGTGAACATTGATTGTAGTGAGTTGAATCCTTCTGTTGCTTCTCCTATGACGCCTGTTGATGTGGTTGTGTCTGTCTCATCTGTGGGATTGGGAGTGAATGAACAGTTTGTTGATGTTCCGGTTGCTTTGCTTTCTGCTAACGCCTTGTATGGTCATGTGGGAGTCAGATCGGGGAAAAATATTAAGGAGCAAATTGATTGGCTTGAAGGCTCTTCATCTTCTCCTTCTGATGATGATGAAGAGGAAGTGTTTGAATAGGATGGTGGCATGCGAGGTACTATCGTTCGGATGGGCTAACGCAGAAAAAGGAAAATCCAAAAAATAGCTTTTTTTGGATTGATGGCTGCTGCTTTGGAAGCTTTTTTTATATGATTGGTGGGGTTTTCATCTCTCCTTTTGGTGTAGTTTTTTTCCTTTTGGTTTGTGCGGGTTGATCTTCGGATTTGGATAGCACTTTTACTCTGGATGTGTAGTTGTCTGCTGGGCTATTGATGTTTTCTTTTGTCTTCATTTTTTTGTTTCTATTTGAGCTGGTCTTTCTTTTGCTTTTTCTTTTTAGATGGATCCTGAGGCTCTTAGGTTTTATTTCAATTATTGTATTTTAGTGAGCTTTGGAGTCTCTAAGGACTTGTATTTTTTATCTATCTTAACGCATATGCTCCTTCCGTGGAGTTTTTCAAAAAAAAAAAAAACAGTAGGCTTGCAAGGAGATTTTTAAACACCTGAGCACATAATTTGGTTGCAATAAATTTGAGCGTAAATGCTTTATTTTTGGCTCTTGTTATTGCAAATTCCAAGATACTGCGTTGGTGGTGGTAAGATCGTCATGACAGTTGGTGAAGATCGCTTGGAATCCTCCATAAATGCAAGGAAACAGGCTCAAAATGGAGAAAATAAAACATAGAATACTCCTGTTAATATAGCTTTTTTCTGACCATCTAAACAATTTTTATTTTACTTGCATTATCCATCCTGTTAATCGAGATATGATACACTGCATAATTGTCAGAAAATTTACAAATTATGAATAACTATATCGTTAAATGAAATGAATATTATGCCAGAACCTGATTAATCATAAAAGTGACTTTATGATTGATAAAACAATGTAAGTGATTACATGGAGGGTTAAAAGAACAGGTTGCATGTGAATACTTATTTCAAAAACGGTTTGTAGGACTTATCTACACACAATATTACGTATATAACCAATAGAAACGCAAAGAAAACTAAAAATAATACATGCACATAGGACAGGAGTACAAAACAAAATCAAGAATGCTCTGAAGTGGGGAAGAAATGTTGCCTTATATAGACAATCTCAATGAAAGCACTACTAATTAATTATTCTTTTTTCAGTAATTTGAGATATCCATGGGTTTTTCTAGTACCATTACAGATAAAATGGGAGAACCTTTTACAAAAAAATGTGCTCTTAGCTTGCTTAGGTTAATGATTCATAGGATATATATAGATCAAATATATAGCTAAGTTTTCAGTTTTAAAGAAAAATGCTGACATTCAATTTAAGGGAAGTCATTAACCAGTAAGCATCTAAAACCAATCTTGGGTTTCTAAAAGAATTCTTTATGCCTTTATTAAGTGCATAATGATCCAAATTAGCAACGTTGTTCGTGAACGTGGCCAGACATTGTAAATGAAATGCGATCATAGAGTTAAACTGGTGCAGGATTTTGAGCCGTTTTAATGTCTGCCTATTATCTTTATGGCCAACCCCTATATTATTGTGTTAAAAACTTTGGATATGAATATATGCAAAATAGAAGAACTGGGTGATTAGTTTCAAATTTTAAACTACAACCACAAGGCTTATTTTGTTAGTGGGATGCAATTCAAGCCAGAATTCAAATTTTCTCTACATCATAAGGAAATCTACAGGCAGATGGCGGAACTTTCTTTCTTCTTTGTCCCTTTTGTTTACATAATTATAAGTCTATGCAATAAAAATACACTGAAATTTCGCTCTCCAGTTGGCCTGCTTGAAGGGTCCAGGCAGGCGCGCTCAAGTTCCCACAATATTTTTTCCCACTGCACCATATATATATCAATGCGATTTTTCACTTGGTTAGAACTAAAAGCAGGGTTTTTTTTTTTTAAATTTAAAACAATAACATATGGCTAGCTAATGTCTTAAAAATACACTACAAAAAATTTCTTCATATTTCATATATCCTTGAGGTCTCGAATGTGGAATCATCAAGTAAAATATAAAATAGTGCTGCTCTTCTAGATTGTGTTGGTATGCAGGTCTTTGATTTGATACATGAGGGCCTTTTTTACCTCAAATTTGTGCGGACTAAACCTGCACATGTTGGAAAGTATTAATCACTGTGAAGTAATCTCAATGATAATTACACAATAGGCCTGAAAAATTTAATTTATTTTTTAAAGAGTAATTTTATAAAAGAAGGGGTTAATAATGCTTATATTAAGTCATTAAGGATATATATGCATGAGCTATTACTTGTGTTCAAACACAAGCTGATTTGACCAAGTATTTTCCCATTTATGTTGGATTACATCAAGGATCAGCCTTAGTCCATATCTTTTTTCTTTAGTCATGGATGTTCTCACTAGTCATTTTCAAGAAGTTGTACCTTGGTGTATGCTTTTTGTTGATGATATTCTTCTTGTTGAGACTAGAGAGGGAGTTGAAGGTAAACTTGAATTATGGAGGTCAACCTTAGAGTCTAAAGGCTTTCGTTTGAGTAGATCTAAAATTGAATATATGGAATGTAATTTTAGTAATAATAGATCTATGGGGGATTGTGACTTTGGGCGATCAATTAATTAATAAGAGTACACGTTTTAGATATCTTGGATCTATTGTTTAGAGTGATGGTGAAATAGATAGGGATATTATTAGTAGAATTTAAGTTGGATGGTTGAAGTGGAGGAATGCATCGGGCTTGTTGTGTGATAGAAAAGTCCCTCTCAAACGTAAGGGAAAATTCTATAAGATGATCGTGAGACCTGCAATGCTTTATGGTGCAGAATGTTGGCCATTAAAAGATAAGCATAATATTAAGTGTTACAAGGATGAGGATGCTCAGGTGGATGAGTGGCTTTACTCTTGGGGACAGGATACGCAAAGAGCATATACATGAAAACGTTGGATTAGCTCCAATGGAAGATAAGATTAGAGAGAGTCGCTTTAGATTGTTTGGTCATATAAAACGGTAGCCTTCCAATGACCCGGTTAGGAAAGTTGATGTATTAGATTTGACTTATGCTAAGAAAGGTAGAGGTAGACCTAAAAAGACTTGGTTAGAAAGTATTAGAAATGACATTTTTTTATTAGATTTAGATGAGAATTTGACACTTAACAGGACACAATAGAGAAAAAAGATTCATGTAGCCGACCCCCGCATAGTGAGATAAAGACTTGTTGTTATTGTATAGAGTACTTTTATGACCATAATTTGGACTACTTGTATCTTTTATTTCACTAAGAATGCTAGCCTCAAAAATGATTTTACTTGAATTATTTGCTTTTAGCTTGCATTAATCTATTTTGATGTGCCAGTACTAATCATCATTATGCAAATGTCTAATTTAAATTTTTTTCCTTAATCTATTTATACTATTTTATTTATAAGGACATAGTGCATCCTTAACTAGTTTGATAATCATCATCTTGAACAAGTCCAATAAAATTTAGTTAGGAAGAGTTGAAAAAAAAAAGAACTCATGTTTTATATAAAGAAAATTTACTAACTACATATAATGATGACATCTTATTCTGGACTTCCTATAATAATCTTAGAATAATATGATTTAAATGTTCATTTCACCATATGTTTTATTCTTAACTATTATCTATAGTCTTTTATTATATATGTCTCCATTCTTATGAATTTTTTTTTTAAGAAATATATTAATTCATGAGAAAAGGTATCATTAATTTCATTATGAAGTGACAGATGCCTCCAAATACTTGTATGGAATCTTTGAAGGTTTAATTTTTACTGAAAATAGTCTCTTTTTAGCTTTTAATGATTTATATATTATATTGGATATTAAGGAAGATGAAAGATATATGTATAAGTTAGCCAAGCAAAAATATGAGAGAAGTAAGAATTTAGTTCAAGTGAAGTGCATTAAGGATGAAGATCAAAAAGTGATTTCATTAGAAGTGGATATTCAATAAAGATGGATGAGATATTTTGATTAGTTTTTCAATGAAGATTGTGAGAATACGATTGACTTTAGTGACATTAGCATCCTAAATGAAATAGAGATTTTTGTTTTTATTAGCGTATTCGTAAAACTGAAGTTACAAAGGTTTTAAAGAAACTAAAGCGTGGAAAAGCTTTTGAATATAATGATATATTCCAATATAGATGTGGAAATGCTTTGGAGATGAAGGAATTTATTGGCTTACAAAACATTTTGATATTATTTTGAAGGCTAAAAAGATGTCAGCCAGATGATTCGAGGAGCGTGTTGATTTCTATTTTAAGAATAAAGGTGATGTACAAGAGTGCGAATTATAGAGCAATTAAACTAATGTGTCATACTTTAAAGCTATGGTAGAGAGTTGTTGAGCATATGTTATGATGTGATACTAATGTTTCTTAAAATCAATTTGGATTCATGTTGGGTAGGTCTAGTATGGAAGCTATACATTTATTTGAGAGATTTGATGGAGAAGTATACAAAGAAAAAAAAGAGGATTTATATATTATATTTATTGATTTAGAGAAAGCATATAATAAAGTTCCAAGAGAACTACTATGGAGAGTTCTAGAAAAGAAAGGGATTAATAATGCTTATATTCAACTCATTAAGAATATGTGTTCAAACAAAATGTGATTTGACCAAGTATTTTCCTATTCCAGTTGTTTTACATCAAGGACCAGCTTTAAACCCATATCTTTTTGCTTTAGTCATGGTTGTTCTTACTAGAAATTTTCAAGAGGATGTACCTTGGTGTATATGCTTTTGGCTGATGATATTCTTCTTGTTGATAAGACTAGAGAGTGAGCTGAAGGTAAATTTGAATTATGAAAGTCAACCTTAGAGTCTAAAGGTTTTTATTTGAGTAGATCTAAAATCGAATACATGGACTGTAATTTAGTAGTAATAGATATAGTATAAGTATTTTGACTTTGGGCGATCAAGTCATTAATAAGAGTACATGTTTTAGATATCTCGGGTCTATTGTTTAGAGTGATGGTGAAATAGATGTGGATATTATTAGTAGAGTTTAAGTTGAATGATTGAAGTGGAGGAATACTTCGGCCCTGTTGTGTAATAGAAAAGTACCACTCAAACTTAAGGAAAAAGTTTATAAGATGGTGGTGAGACCTTACAATATTCTATGGCGCAGAATGTTGGCCATGAAAAGAGAAGCATAAAATTAAGTTAACTATTGCAGAGACGAGGATGCTTATGTGTTTGAGTGGCTGTACTCTTAGAAAGAGAATGTGAAACGAGCGTATATATGTGAAAAGTTTGATTAGCTTCAGTAGCATATAAGATTAGAGAGAGTCGCCTTAGATGGTTTGGTCACATAACACGTCGGTTTTCGAATGACCTGGTTATGAGAGTAGATGTATTAGATTTAATTTATATTCAGAAAGGTAGACGTATACCTTAAAAGACTTAATTGGAAAATATTATAAATTATCTTTCCTTATTAGATTTAAATTAGAATTTGACTCTTAACAAAACACAACAGAGAAAAAGGATTCATGTATCTGATTTCACGTAGTAAGATAAAGGCGTGATGATGATATTGTTGTTGTATAGTTTCTATTGATTATACACATAATACTGCACGTAAATAAGTCCTACCAGCTATTTTTGAAAGAAACATTCACATGCACCTGTTCTTTTAATCCTCCATGCAATCAATTACATTGTTTTATCTTTGTTAAGGTCACTTTTCTGCATATTCCTAGTAAGTTTACATATCTTAAATGGAATTTTTGTTTTCACTATGTAATTCATCATCATCATTTGCCTTTTCCCTACTATTTGGGAATAACTTTATGAGTCCTCGGCTTTCATTAATTTCTATTGAGTGTTGTTTGAGGTGTTAATGCTAATCTTCGCAAATCATTTCGAACAATTTTTAGCCATTTTATCTTAGGTTTATCCTTATCTATCTTTATCTTTTGATACTTGTTTCATACTTGTTCAATGAAAAAAAAAACTTGTTCAATGAGTACCCTTCATTGTAGGTGTCCAAACTATGTAAGCCTTTTTTTACTATCAATTCAATTTTTGAAATTAAAAGCAAAGACCGGTTTTGCAAATAGCATCATAAAGTTTATAATGCAGCGTTGCATTAATTAATTATAGGGAAATTTACATACATACCACTTTATTTCATATATGGTGTATTCAATGCACGAGGCTCCACCAATGTGGTGTGTGGGGAGGAATGGAGGATGCATGTAGTCTTAGCATTGCTCACCAAATAGGTTGTTCCACGATTCATGCACAACCCCTTTAGGTGATATGGAGCTAATTTGGTTATTGCCCTAGGCCCACCCATCTTTCAGTTGGTATTTGTTATAGCTCAATAGTTTATAAGATATTTTTGAAAACTTTCTTCTTTATTAAAATTAATTTTATGTACAGGAGGTGGAAGCTACATTGCAGTCTAAGATACCTGATCCAGTTTTTCATCGAGTTCGGGATGTCGCCCCAAATAAGGTGTTGCTGTTATTAAGACATTTTTTAATGTTCAAGCCATGATTTCTTACAAATTATCTCCTTCTAAATAATGCTTTATATAAGTAGGCTCAGCATTTTTTTCGCAAGGCACCTAAATGTTTTTCAGTATGCGTCCAACTTCTCTCATTTAGCATTCATCATTGTTTATTTCTTGACATTGTCTGTACGTTATATGCTTCTATGCAAACTGGATTAAAGAATCTGGTCACAATTGGTGTTTCCTTTACCCTCCAAAAGAGATTTTCTGCAGTTAGAACTTCATAAAACAATCATGTAAAATAAACAAACACAGCTTGGCCCTTGAAGTAGTAAATATTTTTTTAATTATCAATTTCCATTTCAATGCTATTTTGGGATTTGATTTGCTTGATGATTCTTCCTATTGCTCATGAACTTTGGTTCTAGCATAGCTTGTTAGATAAGTTGTGTGTTTGAAATAAGTGGGATCTGTTACTAACTGATGTTATTGAATGGCTAGTGCTTGATACCTTATGCAGAAGGGTGGAAATTGAGAGAATTTGATTTCCATTGGAATTGAAAATTTAATGGTATCACAATAAGGATATTAGGGAAGGTTATGGCTGGGTTGATTTTTGTAAAATAGAAAAATATATAGTTGGGATTGCCTTTTGATGTGAGAGCGATGAGAGTACTGTCAGATTCAGATAGAGGAGAAAATATAGAGAAAATAAGTGAGGGGCTCTTGGTCACAACAAGGATATTAGGGTAGGTTATGGCTTGGTAGATTTTTGTAAAATAAAGAAATATGGATGCGGGGTTGCCTTAATTGGAGAGAGATGAGAGCACTGTTGGGAAGATGTGAGAATAAAGAAAAAATAGAGGAGAGGGAATCTTGTTTTTATTTCAAATCATAGATTATGAAAAATAACTCCTAACCATATTTATATAAACAGGCTTCATAATTTAAATTCAAAATTATTCGTATAATATATCCAAATTCAAATCAATTACCATCATCTAATTCAAACTTATACAAGATTATCTGACAATATAATTCACCTAATTTAAATACAAGTGTGCATAGTAAAATACACAAATTTAAATTCATGAACTGGTCTAATCTAAGTTCACGGTTGAGTTGGGTCTTGTTATGTGTTTAGGTTTGAGTCTATTAACTGCATCACCTCTCATGGGTCTGGGAGAACTTTGCATCCGAAGAATCAGAAATTGCAGTTGTCTTCGATTAGGAATGGTGGAGTTTTCATTCTCTTCATGTGATCCAATATTCTTTCATGGGTGATCCTCCCAAACAAGCAAATATTTGTGTATTGTGAAAGCACATATGGTGATTTCATCAGTAATGATTTGTTCTGCCTTACTAATTTGAATAGTAATGAAAGATGGAAGCACAAGGACAATTGCATTATTAGCAGATATCAATACTCCACCTAAAAAGACTATTTGTGGGTACAAAGAGCTAATAGGTGCTTCGATATAATGTTAGATATTCTATATTAAATATAGAACTAAAATTAAATTCTTGAATCACAAAATCTTGTGTGGTGGTGGTTTAAAAATGTATGGTAGACAACATTGATATGACGACTAATAAAAGAATCTCAATCTTGGGGTAATGGCTGGCACCTACCCGACAGATTCGAGCCCAGTTTTTACTCAAGTTTCTGATACTCCACTCATTTCAATTATATAGCAAGCAAATAAATTCATGAACTGGTCTAATCTAAGTTCACGGTTGAGTTGGGTCTTGTTATGTGTTTAGGTTTGAGTCTATTAACTGCATCACCTCTCATGGGTCTGGGAGAACTTTGCATCCGAAGAATCAGAAATTGCAGTTGTCTTCGATTAGGAATGGTGGAGTTTTCATTCTCTTCATGTGATCCAATATTCTTTCATGGGTGATCCTCCCAAACAAGCAAATATTTGTGTATTGTGAAATCACAGATGGTGATTTCATCAGTAATGATTTGTTCTGCCTTACTAATTTGAATAGTAATGAAAGATGGAAGCACAAGGACAATTGCATTATTAGCAGATATCAATACTCCACCTAAAAAGACTATTTATGGGTACATAGGGCTAATAGGTGCTTCGATATAATTTTAGATATTCTATATTAAATATAGAACTAAAATTAAATTCTTGAATCACAAAATCTTGTGTGGTGGTGGTTTGAAAATGTATGGTGGACAACATCATAGTAGCAAGAAAAAAAATTCTTTATTAATTCCCTTTTTATAAGCATCACTATAGTTTTCTATGTCTTTTTGCTTTGTAAATTCATATTTTATGTTGCAAACATGGAGTTTATGCATATGCTCAACAAAGGACTCACCATATTGAGAATATAATATATGTTGATTAATGATATGTGATTTATAGGCTTTCTAGGATGTATATAACTTTAAAAGGAGATTGCTTAGTAGTATGACGTATATAACTATTGTAAGAAATCTCTGCAGTGGGAAGCATTAAATCCCATGTGCCTAAATAATCACTAATAAGTTATCTTGATAGATTACCTAAACTCTTATTTGACACTTATATTTGTATAGCAATCTATGGAGGAAATGGTGAAGAAAATTCTTTAGTATCATATATCTTCCATAATGTTTTTTTTTAATCCAACTAAATATACATCACATTTAGAAACTTCTGAACAAGGTAATCCATACAATTTAACTTTTTAATTGAATAATGACCTTGCTAAATATGAGGTATTAATAGTTTGGTGTAAGGTATGAAGCCCACCATGTTAGAGAATTTATCTACCACAATGAAAATAGAATCATGCCCACGGGAAGTTTCACATAAACCTGGAATAAAATGCATGCTTAAATTTGTCCGTGGAGCATATGGTGTTAGGTAAGGGAATGCAAAGCCTAGAAGGCTATTTAGTTGTTTTTCTTGATTGAAAAGTATAACATTTTGAAATAACACGATTAGTATTATATTTTATGGAAGTTAAGTAGAAATTTGATGAAATTAACATTATAGTCTTATCTTGCCTGAACTGTTCCAACTTGTCCACCACCATATAATTCTCAAATGAAAAAGACATAAAGGGTGATGGACTCATTCAAAGAACCCTTAAATAGGTATCCACCTTAACATGAGATCCAGATGAAAATTAAGAATCTTAACATAAACAACAATCAATAGGAAATGATGCAACTTAAAGTCATTGACAACCTTGTTATCAATAACTGCCCAAGGTTTAATTATAAAAGGGAACTTTTGAAAATATGTAACCCAATTAGGATGCCTAAATTTTGATTTATTTTATAATTGCAGATACTTCATGGCTAGAATGGAACAAAATTTTGTGGTGACAATTTTTTGTTTTCCATGTAAAGTTTATGAATGAAAGCTTAAAATTCACGATCATAGGTCATGTATTTTTGCTTTTTTATAGTTTTTTTTTTCTAAATATATGACTGTTAGCTTAGGCACTGCAATACCGACACCGGAGACATCATAAGATACCTCCAAAACTTTTGAGAAGTCAAGTAATAAAAGATTGAGGTGATAGTCATTAATTCTTTATTTGTGTTAATGTGTAGAAGTTGGTCAGTGAAACTTGGCATGTTTCAATACATCAATTAATGGATTCCTAGTGGTACTAAACTCCTTTCATGAATTTATAATAGAAAGTAACTAAATCAAGCAAGCTATGTACATTTACTTGGCCAATCTATGATTGTCTTATTATTTGTGTTAATGTGTAGAAGTTGGTCAGTGAAACTTGGCATGTTTCAATACATCAATTAATGGATTCCTAGTGGTACTAAACTCCTTTCATGAATTTATAATAGAAAGTAACTAAATCAAGCAAGCTATGTACATTACTTAGCCAATCTATGATTGCCTTAACCATAATAAGATTTATAGAAATCCTGTGTCAGAGATCACGAAAATTAAGATAAATGATTTTAGAGTGCATAAATGAACATTTCTTGAAATTCATAGACAACGCTTCATTACAAAATATTGTGAAAACTTGCACAAATGACTTAAGTTGTTGAGCTCAATAATGCTAAAAAAGAAGGTGTTATCAAAATTTACTGCTAATACTAACAATTTTTCAACATACGAACACGTTTGGTATGAACCTTGATAAAAATTGTAAGCACATTTGAAAGACCAAAGAATCTGATAAGTAATTCAAAAAGTGTCCATCAATCTTAAATCCAATTTTTCATTGTATGATAATTACTTCTAAAATCAATCTTGAAAAAGTATTAGGATCCAATAACTTATTGAACATATCAATCAAGCGGGGAGTAGAAAATCCTAAACCAAAGAATCTGATAAGTAATTCAAAAATTGTCCATCAATCTTAAATCCAATTTTTCATTCTATGATAATTACTTCTAAAATCAATCTTGAAAAAGTATTAGGATCCAATAACTAATTGAACATATCAATCAAGCGGGGAGTAGAAAATCTATGGCAAGTTGTGATCTTTTTGATAGCTTTGCTATTAGCAAATGATTCATCCTTCTTAAAAGTAATAAGGGTTGGAACTGCATAAAGCCTTAGTTTTTCCCTAACTCTTTAGGATTCATGTGATAATTATGTAGATATCATAAAGTAGCACCTGTCGCCATGTTTGTCACATGATGAATATCACGTAAATGTGCAGCTCATCGGTTAACCCATTTGATGCAATGTCAGAAATTGTTCCACCAAAGAAGTTACAATAAATAGAATAATCCAATCAACATTAGTAGATAATACTTCTTGAGACAGTAACATAATAAGGAGATCAAGCTTATAGCCAAACATAATAAATGCTTGATATGGTAATAAATAAACTAATACTTTATTTGGCGTTTATTTTATTGGTAGGGAAAATATATATTTTTATTTAGCTGGCTTTGATGGTTTAAGTTTAATGTTAATGCTTTTAAAATTGAAATTTTAAATACTGATTCTACTATGATGGAGAACTTCATATCATAAAGTCGAGGGTGACCTTATAAAATCCTGGTGACATC